TGGTTTCCTGACCCCGGCCCATGACGTTTCAGACCTTTGTGCGACTTCTGGGTCTACCTCTTAGGGTGAGCGTGAAAAGCTGAGGACTAAGAGCCGTGGCTCGGTGCTGTAACCGAACAGCCCGGTTTATACGGGACCCAGGTGGGAGCCCTGTATGAAAACAGGATCAGTCACATCTGATATAAACATTATAGCAGAGTCTCCCTTCTCAAGCAGAGCCTGGTTGCAGGACAGGGCTGTTGGGCCAGAGTGGGTCCCGGGTTGCCACGGCTCGGTGCCGAAACCGAACAGCCTGGTTTATACGGGACCCAGGTGAGAGCCCTGTACGAAAACAGGATCAGTCACATCTAATATATACATTACAGCAGAGTCTCCGTTCTCAAGCAGAGCCTGGTTACAGGACAGGACTGTGTTGGGCCAGAGTGGGTCCCGGGTTGCCAGCCTCCAGGAGGGGTCTGAAGATTTCCTAGTATTACAACTGATCTCCAGATGACAGAGATCAGTTCAACTGGAGAAAATGGCCGCTTTGGACTCTATGGCATTGTACCCCGATTAGGTCCCTCCCCTCCCCAAACTCCACCCACTCCCAAGCTCCACCCCCAAACCCTCCAGGTATTTCCTAACCCAGACCCGGCAACCCTACCAGGGCTGTCCATAACATCACGTTTCTATCCCATTCTTCAAGGAGTTTGGGGTGTGTTTGTCCATGGTTCTCCCCATTCCCCTTTGACCCTCACAACAACCCTGCAAGGTAGGAAACTGGCCCAAGTTCACCCTGTGAAGTTTTTTTGACAAAGCAGGGATTGGGACCCAGGTCTCCATCAGGCCTACTCTAGTATTTAACCCAGAAGAAGAAGATGATGATGATTATGATGATGGTGATGGTGATGAAAAAGACAACGAGGAGGAGGAGGAGATAGAATTTATACCCCGCCCTTCACTACCCAAAGGAGTCACAGTTCTCTCAAGAGCAGTTCTCTCAGGGCTCTCTCAGCCCCACCTTAGTTAGAAGACTAACTCTTCTTCTTCTTTCTGACTCTAAGATCAGTTGCTGAGCTCTGTGAGCTCTCTGACAAACGGGACATCAGCTGCCTTGAATCCTTGCCCCTTTCCAAATGCTGCCGCTGCCCCTCCCTGTTCACTCCTGTCCCAGAGGGGGTGCAAGCAGGGTCCAAGGGACACCCCAATCACACACAGAAGCCCTCGCCCTGGCGTCGTCCCCCACAGGCTGCCAGTGGAAGCGATGCGGCACCCTTGGCCCCAAGCGGCTTTTTTTTGTTCAGGAGTAATTGCGTTTGATGCGGAGGATGGAGAGACCTCATCAGTCAATGGGGAGCCAGGCTGAGGCCGGCTCCTTATTGATTCTTGGGGCGTTTATCTCCAAGTTTGCTGTGCATCAACCGCAGTAATTGCAGCTCTCTGACATTTGGCGGCGAGGGACTGGGCCTTGCCATAGAGGCCCCCGGAGGCAGCCTCGGCAGCGTGGTAGCCTTTGAGATGACCAAGAACATGTGGAATTCACTGCTGCAGGAAGTGGTATGGCTGTAAGCATAGACAGCTTCAAGAGGGGACTGGAGAAACAGGCGGCGCAGAGGTCCATCAGTGGCTATCAGTTACAAGGCACAGATGGAACACTTTGTCAGGGGCAGTGATGCTCTGTCTTCTTGATGCTTGGGGGACAACAGTGGGAGGGCTTCTGGAGTTCTAGCCCCGCTGGTGGACCTTCTTATGGCCCCTGGGTTTTGGCCCCTGTGTGACACACAGTGTTGGACGGGATGGGCCATTGGCCTGATCCAGCAAGGCTTCTCTGATGTTCTTATGTATGAGGCAGTGATGCTTTGTATTCTTGGTGCTTATGGAGCAACAGTGGGAGGGCTTCTGGAGTTCTGACCCCACTGGTGGACCTCCTTTTGGCACCTGGGTTTTGGCCACTGTGTGACACAGAGTGTTGGACTGGATGGGCCACTGGCCTGATCCAACATGGCTTCTCTTACGTTCTTATATGGAGCAGAGGTCCACCAGTCGCTCTTAGCCCCAAGGGATGGATGGAACACTCTGCCTGGGGCAGTGATGCTCGGTCTTCTTGGTGCTTGGGGGGGGGGCAACAGTGGGAGGGTTTCTGGAGTGATAGAGATCTAAAAAGGTCTGCACAGCATACAGACAGTGGATAGATGGGAACTTTTCTTCTCCGCCTATAATACCAGAGCTCAAGGTGACCCTATGAAAATGGTGAGACGTCAGTTCAAGACAGATAACAGAAAGTAGGCTTGTGGAACTCATGGCCACAAGACTCCAGAGTGAGGCAGGAAGCCTGGGCCTCGCTCAGAATTGACTTGAAGACAGCATCAAATGGCTGAATCTGATTGGCTGTGCGGTACCATCGTGAAGCCACGTGAGGGTAGTGCTTGGAGGTATGTGTGGCAAAGAGCCACGTAACAGCAAAGAATACGCCTGCTCCCAGTGGTCAGTTGGGCAAATCCTTCGCCTTTTGTGCAAGTTCCCTGCAAATCCCACCCCCTGCAAATCTCCCCCCCCTTTCTGCTGCAGACTGGTGAAGTCAGGTAGGGGCAGATTTTGTTTGGGCAGAATAAGAGGCTTGTGGCAGCCACATTTGGCCATCAAGGGTAAGAAAGAAGTCTGATAAAGGGCCACTATTAAAAACCTATTTGCTTGAGGACACTCTAGCTTTGACTTAGATAGCGACAGTTAAAAACACGTAAGGGCCCAATGAAAGCCTCGTTACAAAGTACAACTGACCTGAACAGAGGGGCCAATACCAGTGACGTGACGCGTTTCTGCCCCTTGGGGGCCTTCTTCATTGACGCGTTTCTGCCCCTTGCAGGCCTTCTTCAGAGGTCAAACCATTTGAGGTACAGATAGAGACATGTAACTTACAATGTTACGTGTTACAATGAAATAACCAATAAGTTAATGCTGGACCAAAAAAGGAAAGTGAAGCGGCAAGATTAATAGACACAAGACAAGGATGTTTATGAGGCCTCTTAAGATGAGAGTCATGTGTCGGGTGCCAAACGCACAGCTGTTGAATTAGAACATCTTCCAAGTCTGGTCCAGAAAATGCCTATATAACTATCTAATCAGAGCTGGAGTGTCCTCCACAAATAGCAGTCGTCAAGGCCCATGCACCTGGGCAGCAGCTGAGCAAGGGCAAGGGCAGACCACTATGGAGCAAGGGCAGACCACTATGGAGCAAGGGCAGACCACTATGGAGCAAGGGCAGACCACTATGGAGCAAGGGCAGACCAATCCTCTGGCAGTCCATATCCCCTCCCCATGGTGCTTCGCCTTTCCCGGTTTGCAGACGACACCAAGTTCCACTTCCTCCCCTCAAAGTACCGGTGCCAAGATCAAACCAAAATCCTGGGAAACAAAAAGCACCCCAAGTGAACGGAGATCGACAAAAGGTTTATAATAGCAAATAGCCCTAAATCCCATGAACACACAAGAAGCTCCCTTATACTGAATCAGACCCTGGGTCCATCAAAGCCAGTTTTTGTCTACTCGGACTGGCAGCGGCTCTCCAGGGTCTCTAGACAGGAACGAAAGGTCTTTCACTTTGCCTACTGACTGGTCCTTAACTGGAGATATGGGGATTGAATCTGGGACCTTCTGCATGCCAAGCAGATACTCTACCACTGAGCCACGGATCCTCCTTTCCTTCAAGAACCACTTGGGGGAATCCATAGAACTGGCAGTTGTAGGAGTGGAAGAGAGGGGACTGGAAAGCATGCAGGAAGCTCATATATCGAGCTATCATATCGCCCTCAAGAACTTTCAACAAAACAGAAGGAGGAATCCCAATGAAAACTTGGCCTAACAGTGCAACCTGATGCAGAGTAACTCCAGTTTAAGCCCAATGGCTCCAAAGGGCTTAGAATGGAGTCACTCTACACAGGACTGAAAGGTAAGAGCCCAGAGGCATGATTCTGGGAGATCCGCCACTGCATGTCTGCCGTGCTTTCTAAACATACTAATTGCTGTTAGGCAGGGTCTGCATTTGTAGCAGAGATGCAATGGGTATGTGGGAGAAGGCGTTTGATGCTTTGGCCTTGCAGAGTTTTGCTTATCAATATCAGCCTCCTCACTCTGTTATTAGAAAGGGAGAAAAGACAGGCCAGGAGGGAATGCCTATCTTGGAAGCTGTGAAAAGGGGGGAGAAAAGACAGGTCAAGAGGGAATGCCTGTCAAGGGAGCTGTGGAAAGGGGAAAAAGACAGGTCAAGAGGGAATGCCTATCTTGGAAGCTGTGGAAAGGGGGGGAGACAAATCAGGAGATAATGCCTATCTGGGAAGTTGTGGAAGGGGGAAAAAGACAGGTCAAGAGGAAATGTCTATCTTGGAAGCTGTGGAAAGGGGAAAAAGACAGGTCAGGAGAGAATGCCTATCTTGGAAGCTGTGGAAAGGGAAAAAAGACAGGCCAGGAGAGAATGCCTGTCTTGAAAGCTTGGACTAAAAGTGCGCTCCTATGTGGAGTTACTCCAGTGTAAACCCATTGATCCCGAAGGGCTTAGATTCGGGTTATGCTGCACAGGACTGAGATGTAAAAGCCCAGAGGTGTGACTCTGGGAGATCCAGACTTGCTTTCCCCCGTGGACATTGTGGAAAGGTCTGGAGAGAATGCCTGTCTTGGAAGATGTGGAAAAAGGGGGGAAAGACAGGTCAGGAGAGAATGCCTAGCTAGGAAATTCTGGGAAGGGGAAAAAATAGTACAGGGGATTGGCCTCAGTCAGTGACACTATGCAGGGATGGAAGGGTTAAACCCCACCCTCTCCTCCCCACTTTCCCGATCTGAATTAGGCCAACAGCGACTGGCTTTTTCAGAACTCAAGGAAGACCCAGCCTCCCAGCCAGCAAGCCTCCGGTTTCCAAGAAGCCCCTTTGCATGACAGGCAATGGTCCCCTAAGCAAGATGCCAAACATACCCGGTGAGACAGCCAGCTTATCACTTTCCGTGCATTTCAAGCATAAAGAGTTACCCACCTCCTCGGCCCTCGCTGTCGGCTGGTTTCACTTGGATTGGGCGATTCATCTGTCAAACAAAACAGGAGGATCTTGGGTTAGAGTCGTGCCAAGACAGCCCTATCTCGAACCCACCCGACACAATTAAAAGTCCTTCCATTTGACAAAAAGGGGGTGGCTACAGGCACTCTGCTCCGGTTCCGGGGACCCTGGCCCATTACCCAACTGTAGACCTCTACAGAAAGAGTTGCCAGGATTGGCCAGAATTGCCCCATCTCTCTCAACAGTTCTATTTCCTCTCTCCAGACTCAGGATCTCTTCAGGCAAAATCTTGAAAAGTTCTCAGGGGGAGCGTTTACTTCATTTACTATGCCTCATTTATAAACTGCCTCTCTCAGGGACACCCGAGGCTGATTACAACATTAAAAGCAATGGAATTAAACTGTGTAACACAGGCAATAAGCAATGCAATAAAACTAATCCAAAACTCTAACCACAACTCTCTCTCTCTCTCTGTGCATGTGCTGTGCAGCCACAACTGACTTACGGTAACCCCAGCAGGATGTTTTCAAGGCAAGTGAGAAGCACAATTTCCACGACTTTCCCCCCAGCCGTCTATCCATCGGTCCCAAAACAAAAGCCTCTGGTTTCAATTGTACGTTAATCTTTAAAAACTTCCGAATTAGTGAATGTATTTGTATCCAAAACCTTTTTGGCTTTATTGCATGTCCACCGTAAATGACAAAATATCCCTTTTTGTTGCTCACATTTCCAACATCGTCCCAACTTTGTTCTTATATATGAATTGCAGCAGCAGTAAAAACTGACTCTGTGGATCGTATTTTGCTTGATTGTCCCAAATTTTCAGCCCCACGAGATGAACTGATCTCCCCTTTATTTAATCAGGACTTCCTCTGTCCAGAAGCAAAGTCAACCTGGTTACTTAGGGACGAAGACAAACAGACTACCCTGTGTGTGTGGCCAAATTCCTAGCAGCTGTTGTCAAATCACAGGACAAACTATTGCAGTGGCAGCCTTTAAATTCTTCCACATTTTCCTGTGGGACAAACAGGGCTCTTTTTGTAGAAAAAGCCCAGCAGGAACCCATTAACATAATAGGCCACACCCAACAGCAGAAACTCATTAGCATATTAGGCCACACCCTGACAGCACAGCTCATTACCACATTAGGCCGCACCCCCATGTTACCAGAAGTGTGGTTATCCAGCCACACCCACCTTTTGCTTGTTATTCTGTTTACCTTGTTTGTTGTCAAAACCCAGGGCCTTTTTTTGTAGCAAAAAAAATCCTTTGCATGTTAGGCCACACACACCCTAATGTAGCCAATCCTAATGAGTTTCTGCTGTTGGGTGTGGCCTATTATGCTAATGAGTTCCTGCTGGGCGTGGCCAACTCGGGAGCCAGCTGGAACTCTGTTCCTGTGCGTTCCTGCCCAAAAATAGCCCTGGGGACGAGGTTTATTGTGGGACGAGGGTTTGCTGTTTAGGACTCTGGTTGCAAAAACAATAAAGGCGATAAATAAATACATGACAATGGCAGCGAGTTTACTATATGTTCAATAGTGGAAAGGTATGGCACTACCTACAACAGAAGAATGGCTGGTTGAAGAGGTTGGATCTTGCTGCAGGGGTGGTGACACTTTACATCCTTGATTAGAGAAAAGAGTCCAGAAGGAAAGTCATCCTGGTTACTTTGGGACGAAGACAAACAGACTACCCTGTGTGTGTGGCCAAATTCCTAGCAGCTGTTGTCAAATCACAGGACAAACTTTTGCAGTGGCAGCCTTTAAATTCTTCCACGTTTTCCTGTGGGACGAGGTTTATTGTGGGACGAGGGTTTGCTGTTTAGGACTCTGGTTGCAAAAACAATAACGGCAATAAATAAATACACGACAATGGCAGCGAGATTACTATATGCTCCATAGTGGAAAGGTACGGCGCTCCCTACAACAGAAGAATGGCTGGTTGAAGATGTTGGATCTTGCTGCAGAGATGGCGACACTTTACATCCTTGATTAGAGAAAAGACAATGGGCGAGTCTGCATCTGACAGTCACTCCACATTTTCTCAACACTGAGGAAAAAGTGCCACTCAAAACCACATTCCGATACCCCAATACTGACTGCGAAGTCACCCCTGAACGGCCACAATCTATGCAGAAGGTACCTGACGATCAAAGAAAGTGAAAGCGGCATGCAGTGTAGAGGGTACCATAAAATCCGAATATCAAAGGAAGTGAAAACAGTGTGCAGTGTAGAGGGTACCATAAAATCCGATGATCAAAGGAAGTGAAAGCAGCATGCAATGCAGAGGGGGATTTCTGTTCCAAGGTGGGTTTGGTAAAACAACGGAGAGGAAAAACCGATGCAGAATTGCCTTATCTACACTGATGGCTGACTGGAAACCCCTTATAGACTTTCTGCAAGTAACAGGGGATCTTTGGGTTCGAGGATTAGAAAGGGGAAAGGGGGAAAAACTAGATAACAGAAGAAAAGAGGGTCCCCCCCCCCGTAATGATAGAGTAAGAGATAATTTCATAATTTTGTCTGTATTTGCTGCAGAGAAAATCGGAAGTCTCTTCTTTATAAATCAATTTTTTTTTTAAGGGGGGGAAGTGAGAAGCAGGGGTGGTTTGCCATTTCCTTCCTCTGCAGAGTCTTCCTTGGTGGTCTCCCAGCAAGTCCCAACCTTGCTTAGCTTTCAAGACCATTCCACAGCCCAACTATTGTGCTATAGCAGTGATGGCGAACCTTTTAGAGACCGAGTGCCCAAACTGCGACCCAAAACCCACTTATTTATCGCAAAGGGCCAACACGGCAATTTAACCTGAATACTGAGGTTTTACTTTAGAAAAAACAACTCATACATTAACTTAAGATGATCCAAACAAAGTAAGGAAAGCAATCCCAAATGCTTTCATTGACTTAAAATTATTTGGCAGAGGATTCGACACTTTAATGATGGTCTGGGCCTGGCTGGGGCGATGGCACGCGTGCCCACAGAGAGGGCTCTGAGTGCCACCTCTGGCACCCATGCCATAGGTTCGCCACCACTGTGCTATAGCCTCTCGGAGAATCATCACGGTTTGTCCTGAGCCTCTGACCTTTGAATACATCCTGCCTATGATGTTAGTGGAAAGTGCCATCAAGTCACAGCTGACTTATGGAGACCCGTGGTGGGGTTTTCAAGGCATGAAATGTCTAGTGGTGGTTCTGCCATGGCCTGCCTCTGTGTCACGACCCTGGTATTCCTTGGAGGTCTCCCATCTAAATACTGCTAAGGGCCAACCCTGCTTAGCTTCTGAGATCTGACCAGATCAGGCGGGTTTCTTCAATGTACTGCAAACTCAGACATTGGATATCTATTCATGTGCCGGAAAGCGAAACTGACCAGGGACCAGTGTTCCCTCTAAGCTGAGTTAGTGTGAGCTAGCTCACACTAACTCAGCTTAGAGGGAACATTGCCAGGGATAACAGTGAAATGGACCACATGCGCTTTGTGGCCAGGGTTTACAAAATGCCTCATGCTGCCTTATACTGAATCAGACTCTTGGTCTATCAAGGTCAGTATTGCCTGCTCAGACTGACAGGGGCTCTCCAGGGTTACAGGCAGAGGTCTTTCCCATCACCTACTGCCAGATCCCTTTTTTTAAATGGAGATGCTGGGGGTTGCTGGGACCTTCTGCATGCCAAGCAGTTGCTCTGCCACTGAGGCACGGACCCTCACCATAAATGATCCATGTTAAGCGAGCCATTTTTTGTACTCTTGCTAAAATATAAGAAGTGCCTTGCTGGCTGGATACAGGTGCCAGCACTGGATTGGGGTATTCTTGGAGATTTGGGGGTGGATTTGGGAAGGGGAAGAAATTTGGTGGGGCATCATGCCATATAGTCGGCATCGGTGTTCCCTCTAAGCCGAGTTAGTGTGAGCTAGCTCACAGTTTTTTAGCCTCCGGCTCACACATTTTTGTATTCGCTCAGGAAGGAGGGCTCCAGAGCAAGCTAGTTTATGCAGCAGCCAAATCGCTCGCTCACAACTTTAATGCTAGTAGCTCACAAAGTAGAATTTTTGCTCCCAAGACTCCACAACTTAGAGGGAGCACTGGTCTGCAAATGCAGTGTTCCCTCTAAGCTGAGTCAGTGTGAGCTAGCTCACAGTTTTTTAGCCTCCGGCTCACACATTTTTGTCTTAGCTCAGGAAGGAGGGCTCCAGAGCAAACTGATTTATGCAGTAGCCAAATAGCTCGCTCACAGCTTTAATGCCAGTAGCTCACAAAGTAGAATTTTTGCTCACAAGACTCTACAGCTTACAGGGAACATTAGTCTGCATATGATATCATCACTCGTCTGCATATGATATTATCATGACTATCATTATTCAGTTGACCACTGATGAAGTCTTTGTCATCTTCTGTTTGATGTTTGTACATATAGCGATGGTTTTAACTGGAGGTGCCAGGGACTGAACCAGGGACCTTCTGCATGCCAGGCAGATGCTCTACCACTCAGCCATAACCCCTCCTTGAGTTCTGCAAACAGTGGACTTGAGCTTCCTCCAGTCTAAGGCAGGAACCAGGAAACCACGCACTACCTACCTCCTGAATGCTACATAGCACAGCACATACTACAGCGGGTTCTTATCTCACTACAGATGCTAATTTTCTGCCCCAGGCATTTCCCCCCTGCTCCAATCAAGCAGATTACAATATGCATGGTGGTACCTCAGCATCCTTTACAAGCATCCTTTACAACATCACTCCTACCTTTCTGATTAGAATAAAATGACTCAGAGATCTCCTTTTCTACTCATGTCTGAAGAAGGGAGCTTTGACTCTGGAGAGATTACGCCCTGAAACCCTTGTTGGTCTAAGGTGCCACTGGACTTGAATCTAAGTGATTTGACACCCTGAATAAATGCAAAATGCGTAAGACCTTCAAGAGAGAAGAGGTCTTTGGCATTTGCGTTTGCTCAGAAAGTGGCCAGCATTGGGGCATAAGCATGTGCCGTTTTCAGCGCACGTAGGCCACTGGTCTAGGGCCGATCTGGCCCG